CACACACACAGAGTATATACACACACACACACACACACACACACAGTGTACACACACACACACACACACACACACACACACTGTGACACACACACACACACACACACAGTGACACACACACACACACACACACAGTATACACACACACACACACACACACACACACAGTAACACACCCTGTCTCTTCTCTTGCAACCGACTTCACGTATTTGTCGTTGGAATAAAGAACGATGTTCGTCACCTGATCCACTAAAAGATGAATTAATACATGAATAAAACACATGAATAAACACATGAATAAACACAATGTATAACATACACGTTATAAAGTTATAATAAATATATATATAGGTTATTTATCTTGAAATAAAACCTAGAAACAGAAGAATGATAAGAGTTTACGTGAGGTTATGTTGGGTGAGCACCTCTAATGTTAGCATAGCTGCAATGTTAGCTTAGCATAGCAAATATTCATCCAGACTCCATTCAGAAAACAAGCATTTTAAAAGAGAGGAGATGGAGAGAGCACTAACAAACATGAATTAAGACTTTCTATGAATCGACATGTAGTTATTTCACACTCATTTTTATATGTTTATTCCAATTAATTCAGAACAGAATCCGACATTGTGATACATTTCATGTAAACATGAATCCATCACTTCCTCCTCTCTTCTCTTCTCCATTTACTCTTCCTCTCTTATCATCTCGCCCTTCTCTTCCATTCTTCTTCTCCTCACTCACCTGACAGAGTGATGTCTTTGATGCTCCTGCTGGACGAGTTGTTGATTTCTACGTCTACTCTGACAGGCTCGCCGTGGTAGAAGATCTGCAGACAAAGCGGAGGAGAGAGACAGTTAGGTCAGAGGGAAAGAAAGAGACAGCCAGGCAGACAGACAGGGAGGCAGACAGACCTCCTTCTCCAGGCTCAGCTTGACTTTCAGAGGTTTCTCACTCATAAGGAACTCAAAGGTTGTTTCTGCCACAGGAACACGGTCAGAGTCTCCTGGACTGAACTGGATCTTACGGATGCTGAGACGAACTGAGCTCCTTCAGAACCAGAAGAAAGCTGATGAACCCACTAAATAACAATAGTAATAATGATGACATAGATTCACTCACTGTTTGTCCTTCTCATCCTGGTTGTGACCACAGAAGGCTTTCACTTCAAACTCCACTGCACATTTCTGTCACACAGAAACGCTGCTTCACTACTGAGTTACTGAAGAACTGAGATACTGAAGAGCACAGGTACTAAGATACTGAAAGCTGAAGAACTGAAGGTATCTAACATACACTGATGAGATCATGTTACCTTTCCCACATCAGAGGGTCCAGGCTGCAGAGCAACAGAACACGGCAGGTGGTCTGGAAACTGAGACAAACACAAACTGGTCTGAACTCAAGTACCGACTAGTGTTAGTTATTACGCTATTACGTCCTCATCCATGGTTCTGAGTCTGTGACGTGATTGTGACGGTGGAAGGAGACAGCTGGAGGGAGAGTCTTTAATTAATAACTGACACCCCTTAGAACTTGATTGTTCCATATCTTCTAAAAACTTCAAGAAAATTTCAAGTAAATCGTGCATCAGGGGACAAAACTGGGTTATCATGGTACTTTTCAAATTTCTAGGGGGCGCTATAGAGACATTTCTACGACTAGATGTAGCGAGGACCCTATTAAATACCCTCAATTGTAAATCATATTTTTTTACTTTGCCATGGTGACATGTGTCACATTTACACCATTTAAAGTCCTCACAGACTCTCACACTTACCAGGTGACCTCAGTTGAGTCCGTGAGGGTTCAGGGTTCAGGGTTAGGGGGGAGATTGGGTCTCACCTCAAAGAAGAAAGGGAAGGCGTCAGGTCCCAGCTTCTGGAGCAGCTTCTTCTGGGTTTTGGTGTGAGTCAGTTTCTCCTTGTCCTGCAGCTCGGGGTAAACCTGCCGGGTCACCAGGAGCAGGTCCCTCCTAAAGGCCACGCCCATCACATCTACATCCTGGCGTCCGTAGCGGAAGGTACACGACAGCATCACGTACACTGGGAACCACAGGACGAACTCAAAGTGAATGCTTTGAGATCAGAATTCTTTGGAGCTTCATGTTTATTAGACACAATAACAAAGGACATTCAAGTATCAACTTGGAAACGCACTAAAAATGTCCAGACTTCTTTAAATCCAAACCCCTTTAAATCCAGACTCCATTCAGTACAGACAAGTTTATACAAATCTAAATTATACAACCCCTTTTAAGTTCAGATCCTTTTTGTGTCCAGACTACTTTATTCAAACTTAATAAGTTGGCAAAGGACAAAATACTCAAACAACTTTTATATTGAACGGATGTATCAGTTATTTTGATATTGTGGTTTTGTGCTTGTCGTATTTAAACGCTATTGGTTATTTCAGGGTACATTATTGCATACTAATGATGAGACAGATATATTGATCTGAATGGTTATGATAATGAATACCTTTCTTTGCTCTGCGTAGCATTGGGTCGATCACGATGACTCCATCTCACAGAAAAACACAAAGTTATAACAAAGTTATCAAGAGGAAACTAATGAGGCTACTCATGTGGCAAACTTTATAACTACCGAATGTCAGCTTGATCAGAAACTCATCGTTAAACTACACATTGTAAATAAAGTTAATCAAATGATCAGATAAAAGTGGTCTTGCAGACCTGAATTAGCCTAGCTTAGCACAAAGACTTGAGTTAGGGGCCAACTGTAACCCTTCAAAATAAAACAGTTCCTTTCTCACCGACTGGATCCACAAAGTCACCGTGGTCCACAAAGTCTCTTTTGGTCATGTAGACAGAAAGCTGCAGCACAGAGTAAGAGGGTCAGGGCTCTGCTCAAGGGTTCAGGGGTAGAAAGGATCGGGGCTCTGCTCACGGGTTCAGGGGTAGAAAGGATCGGGGCTCTGCTCACGGGTTCAGGGGTAGAAAGGATCGGGGCTCTGCTCACGGGTTCAGGGGTAGAAAGGATCGGGGCTTTGCTCAAGGGTTCAGGGGTAGAAAGGATCGGGGCTCTACTCACGGGTTCAGGGGTAGAAAGGATCGGGGCTTTGCTCAAGGGTTTAGGGGTAGAAAGGATCGGGGCTTTGCTCATGGGTTCACAGGTAATGAGAATCGGTTTCATGAAAACAACTCACCGACTTGTCCCGTGACACTTTCTTGAAGACAACATGTTTGGGACTCATGTTGACCAATAATGTCACAACCTAGAAACAACTCACACATGTCTTAAATTATGACTAAATTAAGTTTAATTAAAGCAGCAGACGTTGTTTACAGTTACAGAACAGTTTAATTTAAAAGCTTTCTAAAGTATCCGTATCATCAAGGTTAAATCAATTGAAATCCAACTGATCTCTTTGATCAACTGAAAGTATTACTAATGATAGATAACTCAACACTTAAATCTTCACTATGACCTTGAAGGTTATTTTACCTTCAGACGAACTGATGTTTGAATCATGAGGATTAATTCCGCAGTGTGTGTGAATAATAATTATTAACAGACGATGAGATTCAAAGGAAAAAAAGAGAAAAGAGAAACTTACCTGAGACCAGAAACGTTGTTGATCAGCAGCAGATTTCTAATAAGTGATCAGACCGATCAGCTGTATTTATAATAATCAACAGGAAACCAGGTCAGCAAGCTGATCATTAATGACTCAACAGGGACATAATCCTTCAGAGGGAGCGAGATAATCTCTAGGTATGTGTGTATGTATAATATAAATATACCCATATATATATATATATATATACCCATACATACATACATATACATACCGGGTAAAATAAATATTGAACACACAATATATGCTTTTACTGCAAATCCTCTCCGCCAGACTGCATGCCTCAGCTGGGATCGAGCAGGCCCAAAAGAGGCGGGTCTAAGAAGCAGTTTAGCCAATCACTGATTAAAGATAAACGAGTGGCATTATAACTTCAGCGATACAATGACACAGAGAAGAAGTATTGATCGAAAAGGAGCAGGTGGCATGTACCGATCCGTGTTTCGATATGTTCGCTCACTCATACAGCGCGACCCCCAGTGGACTGATTAGGAATAGCAACTACTTTCATAGAAATGCAATTGATGTCTTTCTGTAATTGTCAGACTGGCAAAGTGATCCGGCGGGGCCATCTGGCCGTACGTTTGACATCCCGGCTTATGTGGTTTCCTGATAAAAGAAAAATGTATCCGCTGACACAAGGCCCCGTTCATCCTCGGATCATTTTCAGGATAAGAATACACAGATCAGGCTTCTCGGTTCCACCATAGCAACACATCCCAAAACAGGAACCTGCTCCAGAGCAGCTGGATTAGTTCATCACTTCCCACGATTGATTATGAGTCACTTAAAATCAGCCGATACATTTTACCAACACTGCAGCAGTGTCGGGTTAGATTTTCTACAGCCTCTCGGAGGGCTTTACACCAGAAACCCTCACATCGGCACACAAAAAAACTCCCCAAGAAATGAAAAACCCTTCGATGGGGCGAAACAAAGAGGAGAAACGTTTAGAGGGAACGTTGAATAAGAGAACGCTGAGCTGCCTAATACAACATTTGATCGACTTAGTTGAACCACGTACGAGGAACAAAGCCCTGAAAAAAACCCAGATTTATAAATGTTCTCGCTTTTGGACGGTTATAACGTAGCTTGTTTTGCTAGAACAAACAAGATCAAATATTAATAACCTGGCAGTGACATAGCTTTGGTTTCATGGTCTACATTGAGATTTAAGAACTATTTGAACAGCTGCTTTGCAAACAGGATTTTGCTGTTAAAAGGCACCTTAAAGAGTTTGCATAAGAACAAGTTTGCAATACACTACTTTTGAATTCATTATAACATTTTGAACAAGACAAATCATTTAATTGCACATATATGTATCTTGTATAAATATAGCACAAAGGGTAAGGGTATTGTTCGGGAGATTTCTTCGTGGCAATAAATGCCTGTTATTTCCCTTTTAATGGCGCCATATTACCAGCCTGGGCCCCCCTCCTCATGCTGATCAATGTGGGGGAGGTCGGGCTGCTGGACGGCCATGCGTCCTCTCCACAGTCCCATACTAGAGATACGGGATGGCCACTGATGCAGGATCTCATCTGGACTAGGTCTGCAATGAGGTGCCTCCAATGATCATGAGCCTCCACCAGAAGAGATTTCTCCATTGGGCAAACAATCCGCAGCACACCTTTCCCTTTCTCCACACTTTAACGCTGCTCCACATGTGAAGAGCAATCGTCCGGTCAGCCCGGTGGGACAAACCACCTTCACTTCAACTGCTGGCTGCTCACAAATATGGCACCATTTAAAAAAGGAAACTTTAACAGAAAAGGATTTATTGCTAAGAAGCATTGTTTCAACAAAGAAATAATCAGTCAAACACACATTTCCTTCCTTTCTTTGCCATGTTTATATCCTATAGCTCAACCTTATATGAAGATAATCAATGACTAATACGATTCATTATCCTTGTTGGGATTCAGATATGACGTCTCATCAGCTGAGCCGATAAACTGCTGAGTGACACACACACACGATAATCAGGCTATTACGAGACTTTATTCTCAGACTTTAGCCCAATGGACACATTTGTTTATCTTCAATAAAGACTTTGAACATGTTGGTTTGATTTAAACCATCGGAACCATTGAAAGGTCCCAGAAGAAAAAGAGTAAACACCAGATTCCACCGGCGTTTACCGAGTAGTCCACATGAAGAAAGGACAAGTCCTATTGGTCAGAGTTCAACAAGAAGAGGAGCTTCATCATCATCTCCATCAGGTCAAAGAGCAGCTACATCAGACCTCTTGCTACTCCATCAGGTCACATGTCAGACCACAGGATGGCCTTGCTGCCTTTCTCCACGCTGGCCACAAATGCTCCGGAGGGCGACCAGGACACAGAGTTAATGGCAGAGCTGTAGAAAACAAGCGCTCCCAGAGTCACAATAAATCTCCTGCAGTAATAATTATACATAACTGTCGTTCATTCTGGTTCTTACTTGTGGTTCCGGTCCAGAGTTCGGTCCACTTTCCCTGTGAGGACATTCCAGATGTACAAAGCTCCATCAGCTGATCCTCCAGCCACGTAGCTGCCGTCGGGACTGTAAACAACAACAACAACAACAACAACATCACAGAAAACGTTCAGCATGACTCAACTTCTTAATGATTAACCGATTTAAACTTAGTCTGTTTTTTGTGAAACACCTGCACAAGAAGTGGAAAGTTGCATTAACAGGGATCAGATTAATAAATGCAATGTTTGACTCTTCAACAAAACTGTTGACTCACCTGAAGGTGACTCTCGTCCAATCAGCTCCACACTTGAAGCCTTGCGCACTAAGACACACACACACACACACACACACACATTAACGAGGATCACTGGTGGGTCGGGCCTCCCCACTGTGCGCTCGGTCACACTCACCTGAGCGTCTGCCGCACAGCGTTGGTGCGCAGGTCGATGATCTTCACCAGGTCGTCTCTGGAGCAGGTGAGCAGCTCTGTGCGGTCGTGGTTCAGGTCCAGAGACGTGACTCTCCCAAACAGCTCCAGCTCCTGGACGATGCTCTCTGCTCTAAAATATGAACACCTGTTTATAGCAACAGGTAATGAGCAAGAAACCGCAAAACATTAATAACGCACCTGATGTCCCAGAATCGAACCTTCTTATCAAAGTGTCCGCTCATGACACACTGCTCCGTGCACACAATGTCGTTACAGCTGGAACCAGCAAACACCGTCTTCATACCTGTACAGGTGAGGCGGCAGGTAATAACTCTGCAGAGAAATAGAATCTAATAGAAACACATGTCCACGGTTACTATGGTGACCTGTAGAAACGTACAGACTTTGCTGCGGAGGTCCCAGAGCTTCAGCGTGCGGTCGTAGCTCCCAGAGACGATGCGAGCGTTGTCCAATAGGAAGCGAGCTGCCAGCACCTTCCCACTGTGGCCCGTCAAGGTGTGCTGGAAACACACAAGTTCTAATGGATCAACAGGAAACTGAACCTCATACATCAAACCAGCTCTCAGGGTCTCAGGAGAAGAGTGAGATCAGCACTCAGGCCCCACCTCCTCAGCCTCATACTCCACTCGGATTGGTTTTGTGGGATGTCAGTCACACAGAGTCTGTAGGGTCTCTGCACACACTCACACTGTGACGTCATATCCTGTGTCTGTCAGCAGCTTCCCAGAACACCACTGCAACACTAGAGCATGATGGGAGCACAGAGGGGCTGCTGGGAGCCAAAATGGCTGACGAGGGGGATCTGAGATTCAGACCTTTTACATGACATCATCGACCACAATACAAATATAGAGCGAGAACTGAGAAGACTCACTCGGAGTCTGTAGTCGTCTACGGTCCAGATCCGACTCGCAAAGTCATTGGAGGCCGCCAGCAGATAGGAGCCCTAAAAACAGGACATGTATGACATCATCATCACTAAATGAGCAGTTAGGAGTCATCAACTATTGAGAGTGTAACAAGTGACTGATGACTTACAGCGCTGTCAAACTCGATGCTGGTGATTCCAGCGTTGCTGCCGGTCAGAGCGCCTTTAGGCTCACAGCGACCTGCAGTCAGGAGATACAAGAGACGAGCTAAATACAGGTGATGGGACCAGTTACCCTGCTAACCCATCTGTAGGGCTGCCAAGATTGACTCGTTGTGCGATGTTGGTTTAACCCGGCGCTTCGCCGCAGGGAGAGACGCGGCGTCTCTGTGCCGCTAACAATCGGCCTTATGTCATGCAATAAACTGCAAATTATATATATTTTTTAATCATACATGTGATTTTCTGGACTTTTGTTTTAGATTCCGTCACTCACAGTTGAAGAGTACCGATGATACAAGTGACACTTTGTAAGCGGGAAAACCTACAAAATCGGTTCCCCACTGTATAATATATGGCAGCACAAAATGATCGTGCTAATTTTCATATAATAAGTCAATATATTGATTACGGCAACAGGCCTACCCATCTGACGAACAAACCCACCACGGGGAACCAGGTCTCTCTCGCCCTAAAGAGACCTGATGACTCACCTGCAGCGACTTCCCACAGCTTCACCCTGCGGTCCATCCCTCCTGTTGCTAGGAGACGAGATCCGGGGCTGAACCTCACTGCGTTGACCTCGCCGTCATGTGCCTCCTGCACGCACACATTACCGCACAAATTAACACACACACACTCACACTCTGAACTAATGAAAACATGTTTCTTTCCAGGTTTTGGTCTCAGGTTGAAAACTAGAGATCATCTCCCTCCTTCTCCTCAGCCTCACACTCCACTCTGATTGGTTCTGTGGGATGTCAGTCACACGGAGCCTGTAGGGTCTTTGTACAGCCTCCCACTGTGATGTCACATCCTGTCTGTCAGCAGCCCCTGGGACCACCACAGCACCACTAGAGCGTGATGGGTGCACAGAGGGGCTGCTGGGAGCCAGAGGGCAGCAGGAGAAGATTTGGGGTAATCAGACCTTTTACTGCTCATCATTGACCTCTGGTAACACCATCCTTATGTTATCAAACCATCAGGTGGGACTCCACTGGTTACTTACGAACACGTGGAGAGCGGTTGAAGGGACTCGGACCTCAGCACACACTCCAGAGGGGGCGTCAGTGTTCTCAGGCGAGGAGCTGAAGGAGTTAGCAGGTCGACGCCTGAGGGGGAGATCATCACAAACCAGTCAGACCAGTCCAACAACAACCAGTTACAAACCAGTCCACCGTACGGACACCAATCCACTATCAGTCAGTGTTTCCCCTACCATGATATAGGGGTGGGTGGGGAGGGCCCTCCCCCCCCGTGCCCACAAAGAAAGTCCCAAAGCGCACGGCGGAGTTCTACCCCGATGGGCTCACTCCCACCAGAGGACAGACAGACGCATGGAAAGATGAAAATGGTGTCCAGCCGCACCCGGACACCCCCGGTTATTCCCGTCCACAAACACTTTCATCCTCAGAAGCAATGTTCTTATAGCAGTTTTTAACCTGAACAACCGGTCGTTACGGCGGCGGTCATGTGTCAGGGTGGAAACACAGGTAAGGTCACCTGAGGGTCATAAGTCATTTGATAATTATTTCTAATGTTTTGGTTGCAGCTTAAACTGAATGTAAACAGACGTCACCCGTTAACTAACCGTCTAACGCAGGGCGAGGGCAGTCCGGGGGGGGGCATTCCCCCAACGGTAGGAGAACACTACAGATACAATTGTGGACTCCACATGTCTTTCTATAAACGAAGATTACATATTAAGGTTATGGCAAAAATAATCACGTCCTTACAATCTTCACCGTGTGAATACCAACATAAAATCAAAGGACACGCCCCCCCCCCCCCACTCAGACAGTGTTCAAGTCTGTGATATAAACTTTGAGGGTACAACGTAATTAGTTATATTACATAACAAAAACAAACCAGCAGGAGGCTAATAAATAATATAAATGACTTAAGAAGCCAGCGGTCAATCAAGGAGCCAAAAGTGTACACAGACACAGACACACACACACACACACACACACACACACACACACACACACTCCTTCACCTGGAGAGTGGGGGGGCGAGTCCAGGCTTGACACACTCAGACTCGCTGCAGATAGACAGACAGACAGGTGGTGAATCACAACAGCTCATTGGTCCAGACTTTGGACCAATGAGCTCTCAGCTACGTACCCAAAGATGTTGGAGATGGAGTCCAGCAGACCAGCAGGAGGAGGCTGGGAACTCTTCTTACTGCAGGGACATGACAGGCGGTCAGCTAGAGGAACATCTCACAATATCATCATCATGTTGGGTTTATGAAACATGAACACTATGTAGCTGTAAAAACAAGGCTCATTGTGTCTTCTTAGATAATTCTGTGTGTGTGGTCCTGGTGTTCATGAAGGAGGAGCTCTTGCTGGCAGGGTGTGCTTGCTTGCGGTGCCCTCCATGCGCCCCCCCCTCCCCCCATTCGACCCGGTGCTGGAGCGCGAGTCCTCCGGCTTGTGGGACTGGGCTGCAAGAGCGAGAAGCTGAAGCATGTCCACTCCTTCAGGAGACAGGTGTCCATACCCCTCAGACGCTAAAGATGTTCTTCAGGGTGAAGCGATGCAGGAACGGGTGGTTTCAGCTTTAGGGGAGAGCACAAGCAGGCCGTTTGTCCTCACAAGCCCATCGAGGGCGCCACGTACCGGCAAAGGAGCTCGCAAACACCAAAGCTCGGGTGGATGGCAGCTGGCGAAGTGTGCTGCCCCGTGTGGGTGACGAGCCGCCGGCTGAGACCAGGAGAGAGGAGGCTCCCAAAGTGCAGGTAGGTGCTCAAGACAGGGAGCTACTTTGGCAGCAAGAGGAGAGGAGGAAGCAGGAACCAAAGACCGTATCAGGGGAAGTGGAGAGAGGAGGAAGCAGGAACTGAAGACCGTATCAGGGGAAGTGGAGAGAGGAGGAAGCAGGAAATGAAGACCGTAGCAGGGGAAGTGGAGGCGAGCACAGGGGCCACAGCTGATGTACAGGTGAGTGGGGGGCACTTTCGCTCCTTGTTTTCTCCGTTACTGTTTTCCTGTTGCAGTCTATGCCACTGCTCCTTTTCTTCCCCGAGGTGGGGGTTGTTTCTCTAAACCAGGGGTCTCAAACTCGCGGCCCAATTGCGGCCCTCGGGACGATATTTTGTGGCCCCATCCTTAATATGAAAGTGTAATGTTAGTGCGGCCCGCAAGTTTTATACTGTAACCCCACTGTCAGCTGCTGTGTGGGACATGTTATGATGTTCTGGTTTCCTACTGTGTGCTTGTCCAGTGAACGTGGCATGCATGTGACTGACATGGGGGGCGGGTCGTGTGTGTCGCCCGAGGTGCAGAGAGCAGGAGGGTGAAATTCAGTTTCCTGCCCTCTTTCGCGCAGGTGATCATGTGACTAACCGTTAGCATCGCTCGTTTAATAAAGTTTTCCTTTACGACTCACACTAACAACACATGAAGCATCTGACGTCACCGACGAGCGTCTCCGTCCATCACTACGCAGCTTCGATTCAAGTAACTTCACGTTTGGCTATAAAGGAATTCCACGGTCACATGACCTTAGGTCTCCCCCGCTGAGTTAAAGGAGGACTAGTGTTGTAGTCTCATTCGGACCGATCCCCCAGGGTGGGGTTCAATGACTGCTTTTGAAAGTGAGTGTTAAGTTGTGTTATTGTCGACCATGCCGCTCGGACGCTAGTCTGGCCCGCGTTCGGTTGAAGTGGGCTGCATCTGGCCCGCAGCTGATTTGAGTTTGAGACCCCTGCTCTAAACGCTGATGGTGGGAGGGGTCAAGAGCCGATGGCGGTCACTGCTCAACCAATCAGACAGAACCACTTGGTCATCGTGTTGCTGCCAGAGACGGATGGTGGGCAGATTGAGGTTAGGCTGGTGGAGCTCCCGGACTGAACGATATGCTGCAGACATCATTGAAGACTTCTGGAGTTGTGTGGGAAGTGATCTGTGGGAGGAGCTTATAGGCATCATGTGGCCCTGTCTCTGGCGCACACACACACATCTCCCCCCTCCCCTGGCAGTGGTAAGGCTGAAGTGTGGAGAACTCGCTTTAGATCAGTCTCAAAACCAGTGGCAGTCCATCCTGGTCTTACCTTGGAGTCCTGCTGAGGGGTCTCTTGGGAGACGTCTCTCCTCCCCCCTTCCCGCCGTCCTCTGACAGAACCTCTATGTCGTCGTCCCTTGGGAGAAAACAGAGCGGGTGATGACGTCACAGAGCGGGTGATGACATCACAGAGCGGGTGATGAGGTACTGACTGCTCGATGGGAAGTGGCTCCTTTGCTGCGTCGGCCAGTTCCTTCTGCAGTTTAGCTTGTCTGCGCCTGTAAGAACAGTCAGGGGGGTCAATCACAAGCCCATCACAGCCCCCCCCTCGCCACACACACCTGGGCGGGCTCACCTGTTGTCCTTCTCGTTCTCTGCGTTCAGCTTGTTAGCCTCCTGAGCCTTCTCAGCCATCCAGCGGGACACCAGCTCCTGGTTGTCTTCGCTGGTCTTCCTCAGCTTCTCCTCCAGAGCAGAGAAGGTGATCTGCAGAGCGTCGTACTCGTCTTTCAGAGTCTGGTTGGCCCGCTCCAGGTCCTGGAGGAGACCAGGAGATCTTCAGAGTACACCTCCACTATAGGTTCTCTTCTTCAGGTATTAGTGTAACACAGAGACGCTGCTATGAAATTAAAAAAAAAAAATCCCTTTTGTATTAAAGACTAACAGGTGTTTAACGATTCATCCACTGAATGGATTAATATTCCTGCGATCCAACTGAATTGATCTGTGCTCCGCAAATCGGCATTCCGGACGACGTATATCGATTACAAATCGATTGAAATGGTACATAATCGATTTGTATCGTTACTTGGAAGCTGCACATTGGATTTAAGCACAAACGGTATGGATGTGCACTTTGGACACGTTAAACGTTACTGGATTCAGTCTGCCTGTCTGTGACGTCATCAGTACGCAGCGGCAGCCGCGCGAAACTCTGAACAACAACACACGGCGTGGAGGAGACGACTGCGAGCGAGACATTTACAAACCAACGTATCGATCCAGTGGAAACATTTGGGCTTTTGCAAACACGGAGGTGTTCTAAATAAGTCGCTCGCTGTTTGTAGAATATGTAGAAGACAAATAAAAAACCACGGAAACACGAGGAATCTTTCCGGCCGTCTACTAAGGCGCCGTGGGATTAAACATCGCCGACAGTCAGGACCTCTAGCAGCGTCACCGCTGCAGCAGCAGCAGGTAACTCAGCTCTGCAGACGCCTCAGGCCTCCAGCACCAAACTCATCACAGTAACAAGTTCATCTGTGAAGACGTGCGGCCCTACGATGAGGTGTCTGTGAATTGATCCAAACATTGTGTAATTATTGTGTCATGTTTACATTGAAAATGGCACTTGATTCAAATAAAAGGTTAATACATTTGCCATTAATTGTTGTTTGCTTGTTTATAATATCCATAATTCATTTAAACCTGATTTCCTTAAAGGAAACAACAGGGATCTCAGAAACTTTGCCTGCACTGTGCAGTAAAGTCACTGAATCGAATCGTTGTTAAAATGAATGGTTACACGCCCACTAACAGAGCTACTGAGGAAAACGTTTCCTCTCCATGTAAGCTGCTCCAAAGTGAGAAAAAATATTGTAATGGTTGTTTTCCTGCTTGATAGGCTTAATTGCACATTTTGATGTAAATGTTGAGACTGAATGTTCGGTCTCCTCCTCCACTCTGATTGGTTCAGCGACATCACACTGAGCACGTACCGACTCATTGGCTCTGTCTCAAAGCCGCTAAGGACACATTTGTCGACCGCATACGTCACTTCAGCGGAGACTCGCCTGTCCCAATCGGTCGGCTCCTCCCCACGCGGTCGAGGGGTCCTCTAGGAGCCGGTGTGGAGGACACATATGATCTATCCTTTGCGGCCCAGCACATCCCAGCATGCAGTGTGGGCCGAGGAGAATTTCAATATTAAGTAATAGAATTTGCTCAAATATACGATAGAAATGTTATAATATATATAACATCATATCTTAGTTTATGAAATCACTTGCGTGACATCGGTAACCGATGTCGTGTTTTTAAATTCACATAAGACTTTAGAGCAAACTGCTCTTAGTTGCCCCTTACAGCCCCTGAACCCCCCCTGGGTCCATGAAGCGTTAACGGCTCGTCCGCCCGTAGTCATTAGTGAAAAGTCACTTTAATGACTTTCACACTTTGGAGGTTGACGCTGTGACGGTTTTATATACAGTTTATACTTCATATTATGAACAGAAATGGATCGGTGAGCTCAGGTAGACCAGTTATGAACCTGAAATATCACAAGTCAGTGATACAGAATAAATACACAAAAAACTGAACCTGCTTTGCTCCTTTGGTTTTGTTGTGTGATTATAAGTGAACTTTACATTTAGTTGTGTTTTATGGAGCAGGAGGAAGCATCAAGCTGACGGAGAACGATGTGTGTGGTGACATTAAGCTGCTGTAGCGTGGACATAGTCTGTTATATTTTACAGTTTAAATAGTTCGTATCCTATGCAAGAAAAAAGAAAAGTCCCTGCATACAAGTTAATAAATGTGTTCTGTTGTGATTTTTATTGACAACATAAATGGAATTTCCTCTGCCTTAAGATTGCAATATTACTTTAAGATGAAAGTAATTCTAAATTAGTAAAGTATTATACATTAACTGATTTAATTTGAATTTAAAATAAACCGGAAAAGGTTCTCTCACTCTGAAATATATGATGCTCCGGAGGAGAAGCGTATCTTCCTAAATGAAATGAAATAAGATTTTTTTTCCTTATGTCTACTTTATACATTTTGGGGTTTTAAGGCTTTAATTGTTAAGATCAGCAGGTTGCTAGGCAACAGGAGCAGCGGAGGTAAAGGTGATGACACAAGCAGGAAGTCCCTCCGTAGGACAGACCGCTCGGGTCAGCCTGCCCCTACACAGCCCCGGTCTACGAAGGCTGCAGGCTACTGGGATGCCGCTTCGTAGCTGTGTCTCAAAGTCGCTAGGCTGCAGCAAGAGAGGATTGTGGGTAATCCGACCATTTACTGCTCATTGATTTTCATCACAAAGTCAACTCCAAAGTCTGGCCTATATGTAGTTTTACTGTGCCACTAGAAAGTGTTGTATTATTTAATATTAATAAACATAACCCAATAAAGGAGACATGAGTTTGAGGGATGAATAGAGTTCAGTTCAACTCAATGTGATGTGTGTGGGTCTCCGATTGTAACAGGAAGCCAGATCGTATCTTCATTTAAAAAGGTCACTTTATAAAGCGCTGCAGATACACTAATCCAAAAGGACGACTAACAGACACCTATGAAATCCACCTGGGGATCTGAGACAAAAGAGTCAATTGGTAAACCAGCCAAACCTTAATAGGAACAAAGGGGTCTAATCCAATGAGACGAGTCATTCCGTGTTCATGGTGACGAAATCATGTCGTTCCTTTGCCAAAGGACACAAGAGTTATGGTCATAAGGAGGTCTCTGGCACAGGTGAGAGGTTACCTGAAGGTAGCCCCTCAGCTCCCGACAGTCCCCCTCCAGGCTGCTAACTTGCTGCTGGTACTCAGACATCCTGGTGAGGAAATCAAACATGAGGTCATGTGCTTGTGCGATGCTAAATGCTGGTGTGTGTGTGTGTGTGTGTGTGTGTGTGTGCGCGCGCTCACTTGGCCTCGTTGCTCTGGATCTCTTTGTCTTTCTGCTGAATCTGATTGTTCAATTCGATCACATTCTGAGCCAGCTGCAGGACAAATAGACAACGTGTATCCAGAACTTTTATTGACCCCGAGACTATTTGACCGCCTCCGTTGTTGAACCAGTTCTGTAAACTAACGACGTATTTCTATCATAGTAAATAAATCAAACCTTCTTTAATCAGCCATGAGATTACATCACCAGTGGGACTCACCTCTCCTCGTTTCTTGTGCAGCTCCGTCAGCTCCTCCTGGTGTTTGATTCTCATCTGAGACATCTCCTGCTGCAGGACCTCACCACGGCTAGGGTCTGTCCCCAAGCTGAGGGGTAGCACACGGACACGTCAGAGGTGGGTGTGGGGGGGTCAAAGGTCACAAAAAAGGTGGGTAGGAAGTCAAGGACTCACCTAGAGTCATGCCCTCTCTGGATGTCGTATTTGTCCGGTTGGTATCTTTCTGATAAAACCGTCTGCAGGTCAGACTTCTCCAGCAGACGGTTATCTAAAGACAATGAGAGACAGGTCGTCATTATGTATCTGCACTGAGACAGTGAGTGAGAGCGACAGGAGGTGAGACTCACACTGGAGGACAATCTCCTCAAAGCTCTGCCTCTGAACTCTGTCTCTGGCCTTCAGCTGATCTAAGATGTGTCTCTTCCAACACTCAGCACGCCGCTCCGCCATGACACCCTGAGGGGTAAGGAACACTCTGTTAGGAACTCTGCTGGGTCGTATTACCGAGTGTAATACTTTAAAGTAGGTTTATTTTAATTTACTAATCAACTAATTCCGGTCTTAAATTAAGTATCCTATGTGTCTCCACAGATACTTGATGGCAGACAGACAACATGTTTACACATGAGTGTCTCTCTCAAGCTTCCTACTGTGTGGCGTTCAAGACCAGTCGGATCTCTGGATAGTTTGTGTAATAGAAATGAGTCATTTTAATAATATCGTTATTAATAAATCTATTCAAACTATCTGCATTTAATATTACTACAATATAGTAAAAACCTGCATGGAAAGTGGTCTGAATATGCCGCCATGTTATCTGGTAAATGTTTAATCCAACGGGCAGAAAGGGTGCAACGTGTAAACAAACATGACGTCAGGTTGTGGTTCGTTGTCTTTACGTCGAACCGCTGCACGTTCAACTTGGAGGAATCAGGCCTTTTTTCGGGACGCAGCATAATTCACAATACAGAGTTACATCCGATGATTCACCCGTAAGGCAGTGACAAACAGAATGAATAGATATCATCACATGTTTAGTTGCTGGTAGCTTCTCTGTTAGCATGTTGCTAAATTGAACAATAACACGGCAAAGCTAACCAGATTACATGCTAACGCGCCATAATGTCTCGTAAAATGTAACCCATCTGAAGGATACATATGCCTGCTCCAAACCGAGTCACTAACCCGGTAACGTTGAGGTGTTGCTGGTCCCCGTGACTCGACATGTTAGCATGCTAGGTTAGCAACCACCTGAGCGTTTAACGGATATTATAACGTACACATCTACCTTTGGCTCCTCTTCTCCGGAAACCTCGGCAGCGCCTCACGGTGTTTTGTGTTACACGGTCCGCGTCCTCTTCTTAACCGACATCAGCTTCTTCAGCTGCCTCCATCCAGATCCGCGCCATTTTGGCTCCTTGGCGTTCTTCCTGGATCGTCGCATGAGTATGACGTCGCATTTAAATATGAGCGGAATAAAGGCCAGGGCTAGATTCAGATTTTCAAAAAAATCCCTACTAACGTCTTTTTCCAGCCACTATTCCTTGACCTCTGTGGAAAACGTCCCGGGGTCAAGGGGATCCGACATCCACTTTCACTAAAGCCTAGTTTATGCTTCTGCGTTTTCAGAGCGACGCAAGACCCCCTGCGTGTCTTTTCACACCTCCTTGCGTGTGTCCACCCATTTCTAGGCTTGCGTCGAAAGCCTCCCGCAGCGCACCAGGCTGTGATTGGTCCGCTAACTACGTCCTTTACGGAGTCTCACATTCCCGTTTTCATAACCCGATACCGCCATTATTAAAATAAAGAATGTTTACGAGAGAACGGATCAGATTGAAGAGCTTTTGTGTGAAGAATTGCGTAAACATGATCACGTGTACAAGCCGTCATTGGCGGACTATGAGGACGCCGGATGGCCTCTGATTCATGGAGGGAGATCTCCACAAACGAGGGGAACAAAGTCGTGGAGGAAAATACGGGACAAATGTGTCCTTGATGAAAAGCGGCAGTGTGGATGCACGGGGCAATAAAGTCTATGATCAATAAATAAACCCACCAACGACTTCCACACACAAAGACGTGACTCTCCGGGTCAGTCTTTTTCAACCAGTGTGCCGTGAAAAAAATCATTTTTTACATACTGTCACTTGGTGAAATAACAAGAGCCAACTTGTGTGTTTGTGCGTGTGTGTCGTCGCGCTGTTGGTGGTGTGAAGGCTCAATACTCAGCCGCAGCGTCATCAATAGGCAGATTTGCTGAGGTGACAATTTAAAAAAGTGAGATTTAAAGGTTGGCGCATGTTTCTGCGTCTTTACGCGTCTTTACGCACTGGTTTCACTTCCTGGTTGTAAAGTCTCGCGCGTGTTGCAGAGCGATTCACCTCCAGAACAACAGGTGGAGTCACGTGTTTTGTTGAAGACGACCTGGAGAGTCACGTCTTTGTGTGTGGAAGTCGTTGGTTGCTTTATTTATGTATCATAGACTTTATTGCCCCGTGCATCCACACTGCTGCTTTTCATCAAGGACACATTTGTCCCGTATTTTCCTCCACGACTTTGTTCCTCTCGACCGGCAAACCGGCGTTTGCGGCGATCTCCCTCCGTGAATCCAACCCGCTTAGTGCCGGTCGAGAGGAACAAAGTTGTGGAGGAAAATACGGGACAAATGTGTCCAGCTTGTAGAAGCGCCACGAGGGTCTTGCGTGTGCGTCGCTCTGAAAACGCAGAAGCATAAACGAGGCTTAACTCCGCTGGAGTTAAATCAAGAATAGAATTTAAAGTTCTCCTCACCTACAAGGCAGCGTCTTATCTTAAGGAGCTTGTAACACCGTATTGTCCTACAAGGCAGCTGCGCTCCATAGATGCTGGTTACTTGTTGTTCATAAAGTCTTAATAATCCAAATAACAATAATAATCTTAATATTTTGTTATGTGATACTCCATTGTGTTTATTGTATCTACATGTCAAAATAGCCTGATTTATTTGTACACATTAGCACATATATGCGAACTGTATGATCACTTAATGTTTCAATGTGTGTCAGTATGAACAATATACACATAAAGTAGTAAAGTTTTATTGAGATAGAGTACAGAGTTGAGACCTTTAGCTCAAATACATAATGGCAGAAAGATTAAACATTACATCTCTCAGAATCATTGATAAATGACAACAAATGGATTGTCTGGATTGTTTTTAGGAGGTAAAAAATAAACGTTATAAAAAAAACCAACAACAATATTCACTTGGTCATCAAACTGATTTATGAATAAAATTAGTCAATTGATTCCAGAATTATGATTTATTACTGCCATATCAAAGATCCAATTTAATAATGAACTATTCACTGATGATGTCGACTGAACATTATTAATTCGATTCAGCATTGATATGAAACTGATATTTGCATGTACCAGGAGTCCCAACGTTTAACACATTAAAGTCATCTGTAATAATCAATGAATTAATTTTCCATGAAAAAAAAGAAAGACCTGCGTGAGCTTCAGGGTCAGCTGATGAGTTACCACCATGTTGCATCATGGGACATGCAGTCTTCAGTAATGTCACGGCTTACACCAGCAACATTTTTGACTAATTTAACTAATTAAAAACAAATTCTTGATTACTTATTTATTTGATTAACCCATAAAATATAAAAAGTCACCAGAATCACAGTCATAAGTTCATTATACTGATTTAGAACAGAGTACAAAGTAATTCATGATTACTCAAAGGACAACTCAAGTTACTTCAAAATGAAAGTTTAATATAATTTCAATCATTATTTAATTCTCTGCTTCCTACCTTAGAATTGAATAAACTTTCAAGCTACAGAAGTCAAGTTTAAAAAAAGGAAACCAGCTGATTAAACAGTTCTGTGTGGGTCAGATCACAGGAGTATGGAATGTGCAGGTTATTGATGCAGAACCTCTCAGAACGGGTTCTATTTGGGGCTCTCTGGGACGGATGGAGACTCCAGAGAGGACTGATCATCTGCTTCTGGGAGCAGCTCCTCCTTATCACTGCCGGGAGGGTCACATATCACCATTACAGCAATCAATACCTCCATTAAATCAGTAATTACTTCACTCAATCATACATACATCAATTATTACCTCAATCCACCAATAAATTACTACATCTATTATCACCTTGATCAGGCAATCAATACCTCTATCAATCATTACATGAATGACCTCCACCCATGACTCAATCAATAAATCCTAATACAACCATTCATATCACCTCTCCCCCTCAGTCAAAGGAACCCTTTAAGTGGAGGAGACTTTTTGTTCCACATCACAAATGTATGAAGAGAATGTGTTATTAGAAAAATAATTATTAATAATAATCAATAATACCTGACGGAAGATGGTTGTCGAGTCAGACGGTGACGTCTCATTGTTATGACGACGAGCGTAACCAGCATCAGAGCAGAGACGGTTGCTAGGGTGACAAAAAGGAAGACACCTGGAGCAGATGTCAGAGGGGTCAATATCGGGGGGATATCATGATGTCATCATAGTACACAATACACAGTACTCAGATTTCATTATAGTACCAGGCCATCATCTTAGTACTCGGGAATTGTCAAAGTACTCATCACAATAATCAAGATTCCCAGTTAGGGGGGCCATTCGTCCGGCTTTTAAATGCCCCGTCCGGCTGCAGGCGCAGAGTAAAAACTAACCTGCAGTCCAACGGTCACGAACTCTTCCGCGATGGTCAAAGGAACCTTGATGTAGAACACACATTATAATATTTTGCAGTTTATTGCATGAAATAACTATTTGATACATCAGAAAAGCCAAACTTAATATTTGGTGCAGAAACCTTTTCTTGCAATTACAGGCATCATACGTTTCCTGTAGTTCTTGACCAGGTTTGCACACAGTGCAGCAGGTATTTTGGCCCACTCCTCCATACAGACCTCCTTCAGGTTTTGGGGTCGTCGCTTGGCAACACATACTTTCAGCTCCCTCCAAAGATTTCCTATTGGGTTCAGGCCTGGAGACGGGCGAGGCCACTCCAGGACCTTGAGATGCTTCTTATGGAGCCACTCCTTAGTTGCCCCGGCTGTGTGTTTCGGGTCGTTGTCGTGCTGGAAGACCCAGCCACGACCCATCTTCAATGCTCTTACTGAGGGAAGGAGGTGGTTGGCCAAGATCTTGCGACGTATGGCCCCATCCATCCTCCCCCCAATACGTGCAGTCGGCCGGTCCCCTTTGCAGAAAAGCATCCCCAAAGAAGGAGGTTTCTTCACGCTTCACGGTTGGGATGGTGTTGTTGGAATTGTACTCATCCTTCTTCTTCCTCCAAATACCGTGACTGGAGTTTAGACCAACAAGCTCTATTTTGTCTCATCAGACCACATGACCTTCTCCCATACCTCCTCCTGCAGGATTTGAATCCATGATGGCGTAGTGTGTTACTAATGGTTTTCTTTGAGACTGTGGTCCCAGTGTAGTTCTGGGCTGATCCCTCACCTTCCTCATGATCATTGATGCCCCACGAGGTGAAATCTTGCATGGAGCCCCAGGCTGAGGGAGATTGACTGTCATCTTTAACTTCTTCCATTTTCTAATAATTACACCAACAGTTGTTGGCTTCTCACCAAGCGGCTTGCCTGTTGTCCTGTAGCCCATCCCAGCTTTGTGCAGGTCTACAATTTGATCCCGTATGTCCTTACACAGCTCTGTTTCATTGAGTGTGTGGACAGGTGTCTTTTGTGTGGACAGGTGTCTTTTATACAGGTAACGTGTCCAAACAGGCGCAGTTAATACAGGTAATGAGTGGAGAACAGGAGGGCTTCCTAAAAACAAACTAACACGTCTATGAGAGCTGGAATTCTTACTGGTTGGTAGGTGATCAAATACTGCAAAATACATATTTTTTAAATCATACTATGTGTTTTTCAGGATTTGCTTTAGATTCCGTGACTCACAGTTGAAGAGTACCTATGATAGAAATTACAGACTCCTACATGCTTTGTGAGTGGGAAAACCTGCAAAATCGGCAGATATCAAACTTCCCTTTTTTTCGTTTTCTTTTTCTTTTTTCTTTTTACAAACAGCTTTTGAAATAATGTTTTGGTGCCAAACAAAACTGCTGAAAAGGATTCTTACGTTCACAGCTCGGTAAAGCCCACTGAGCCAGTTTTTCCAAAGACAAAAGTCTTGTTGCCTTGTCATATGACAGATGCACCCAATCCTAGATTACAGCCTCACCAGTGATCAATAATTGATCAATCGATTAGTGGGTGTGTGTATAAAAAGAACCCCAGCACACCAGACCGCCTCAGCAACATGCCTGAGAGTCACCCTGAGACCAAAGCGTTGGTTATCACGAGGCTGAAGACCAGATCCACTGCTGAGGTGGCTGACACCTTCAATGTGTCTCAGCGTCAGGTACAAAGAATAAGAAAAGATTTGAAGAGACTGGAGATGTTTTTGACAAGGCCAGTTCCGGCAGACCCCGCAAGACAACTGCTCGGGAGGACCTAGAAAATCCAAGGCCCGCCCCTTTTCCACTGTAGCAGAGCTCCACCAGACCTGGCCACCTCAAGTCCCCGTGGCCCCGGGTCAGTGTGTAGAATTCTGTCTCGAAATGGCCTCCATGGTCGAATCAGTGCCCAGAAACCAGCACTAAACAAAAAGGCAATTTAAAAAAACGTGTGGCATTTGCCAAGGCCCACAGCCTGCTAGAAGGATGGATGCTGGAAAAGTGGATTTCGCAGATGAATCTTGAATTACATCACAGCCGCGGCAAATATTGCAGGAGACCTACTGGAGCCCGCATGGATCCGAGATTCACCCAGAAAACAATTAAGTTTGTCTCAAATCATTGTCTGGGGTTACATCCAGTATGGGGGTGTGCGAGAGATTTGCAGGGTGGAAGGCAATATCAATAGCCTAAAATACCAAGAAGTATTAGCTACCTCTTACATTCCCAACCATAAAAGTCGTCAAATTTTGCAGCAGGATGGCGCTCAATCACATACTTTCATCTGTACATCAAAGTTCCTCAAGGCGAAGAAGATCAAGGTGCTCCAGGACTGACCAGCCCAGTCACCAGACATGAACATCATTGAGTATGTCTGGGTTACAATGAAAGACGTATGTATTGAGTATGGAAGACGAAACCAAAAGAATCTTGATGATGGGAGGCTGTAAGACTAGATCAATAGATTGGATGAATCATTGTCGAGCCGCATGGATGCAGTCCTTCAAGCTCTTTCATATATGAGCCATTTCTTAAACCAATGGATTAATTAAAGTCAGGTTATAAGCTGTTGGTTCTATAAAATGGATAAGTGACAAAACTTTTGTCAGGGAGTGTATATGCACACACTGTACATACACACTCACAGCACCACACACACACACACACACACACACACACACACACTACCCCTTGCAGTACTCTGGCCTGTGAAAGCGGCATCCTGGGTGCTCACCTTGCCCTGAGCAGCGCCTCATGCACTCCTCTATGGTGTTGTAGCGGTTCTGGTTTCCTCCACAGCCTCCGTAGATAAAGGAGCGGCAGGTGGCAGCTTTCAGGTCGTAGTAGAACATGGGGAAGGCGGCCCGGCAGAGACCGGGGTCAGAGGTCACCATGCAACCATCTTCAGACAAACACCAGTCATTTAATGAATGTTACAGAATCCATATCTCAGTTTACTGGTTTTGGTTTATTTCCGATTAGCAGTCAGGATAAAATGCTTGGTGTTTTTTTTACCTTTGTATTCTGACGAAATGTCATCATTATCAGCAGCAACTTTCTTGGAGGACGGAAGAACTCTGACTGCAGAAAGAGAGACACGTTCCCTTCAGTTGACCCGGTTTACCCCATTAGACCCTAGTTACATGCATGTAAAGCGGGGGTAGCCAACGTGGTGTCGCCCACGGGGCAGGTTCTAAAAATAGCCCCGGTCACCATGAAGCTACGTCTAAATAATTATTGTGGTACGCAAAAACACTTGCATTCATATTCCTTGACTTTAAAATGACAATATTTAATATAAATGTAGAAAGGTAATCCCAGTCATAAACAGACTAGGACTAGTTTGAGAACAGGTTTTGTGATTTTGATCAACTTGAGCCTTTCATTACACTACATTGGTGAACATGCAATGCCATGCTTTCCACTAACAGACATTTACAAAGAAAGAGATAACAACTTTTTATTGAAAACAAAAATGCCGCACAAAAATGTGAAAAATAAAACATCTCAAGATTTGTAGTAAATGCTACAGATTTGATTATTAGTAATAATGTATCAAAGAAATGTGATACCTCTGACTTTCAAATGTTGAAACAGAAATAGATATTTCATGTTTAAATAGTAGTTTTCTACCATTGTTGTAGAAACCATGTTAATAGTTATTGTGAGGAAAAATTAACATTGACATGTAATTTTATTTATTTTTTACATTTATTATTATTACCATTACGGGTGAACACCGGTTAGTTACCCACGGTTACAGGTGCACACAGGTGTGTTGCTCACCTGTACATGTTGCCATGCAGCTTTCCTTGCTGTCGTAGTTGTTCTTGTTGCCTTTGCAGCCTCCATAGATAAATGATTGACAGGTACCGGTCTCACTGTTGTAGTACCAATGCTGGAAGGCTGCTCTGCAAGGACCCACCTTAGGCTCCGCCTCACAGCGCTCTGATAGGACAAAAACACACGTTTAATGTTCACCTGGTTTTGTTTATCAAAATTATGACTTGTACAGTACATGTATTCATTTATTTTTATTTATTTATTTTACACTAAAGGCCGCCGCGTGTTTCTGCGTCGTTGCGTCGACGCACTGGTTTCACTTCCTGGTTGTAAAGTCCTGCGTGTGTTGCAGAGCGATTCACCTCCAGAACAACAGGCGGAGTGACGTGTTTTGTTGAAGACGACCTAGAGAGTCACGTCTATTTATTTATTTGTTTATTTATTTATCATAGACTTTATTGCCCCGTGCATCCACACTGCTGCTTTTCATCAAGGACACATTTGTCCCGTATTTTCCTCCACGACTTTGTTCCTCTCGACCGGAAAACCGGCGTTTGCGGCGATCTCCCTCCGTGAATCCAACCCGCTTCTAAACCCACCAGACAAAAGTTCTTCAATCTGCTCCGTTCTCTCGTAAACATTCTTGGTTTTAATAATGTCGGTATCGGGCTATGAAAGCGGAAATGTGAGACTCCGTAAAGGACGTAGTTAGCGGACCGATCGCAGCCTGGTGCGCTGCGGGACGCAAGCCTAGAAAAATGTCTCGACACACGCAAGGACGCGAGGAGGTGTGAAAAGCGACGCAAGGGACACGCAAGGAGGTCTTGCGTCTGCGTCGCTCTGAAAACGCAGAAGCATAAATCAGGCTTAAAGGAGGGGCAGACACACAATGAAGAATGTGTGGGGCATAATATTATGGCTCGCTCCACCTCTTCACTCTGCGCTCGCTCGACTTGCAGCAGCGTTACATTTGTGCCACAAAACCAACCAATCAGAGAATTAAAGAAGGTCCATTGTGATTGGCTGTTGGTCTCCAACCACAACGCTAGTAGAGCTACCTACAGCATCGCGGGAGCTCAGCGAGTTGTTGGAGTTTGCAGCATTTGTGCTAAATGCTAATGGCCTGGATTAAAACACGTGCTGTTCTCATCATTTGCTTCGTCATGTCTGCATGGTGGCTAGCCGGACTTCTAATATCACTTTTTGTCTTTGACAGCGTTGTGATTGGAGATCCAACAGCCAATCACAATTGACCTTCTTTAATTCTCTGATTGGTTGGTTTTGTGGCACAATATGTAACGCTGCTGCAAGTCGAGCGAGCGCAGAGCGAAGAGGTGGAGCGAGCGCAGAGCGAAGAGGTGGAGCGAGCGCAGAGCGAAGAGGTGGAGCGAGCGCAGAGCGAAGAGGTGGAGCGAGCGCAGAGCGAAGAGGTGGAGAGAGCGCAGCAACGGCTGCCTGCGCGCAGAAAACCAGTTTGTGGAGAGAGGCAAAATACAAGTTTAGCAAGGCGTGAGAGATGCTAAACGACTGTACTCTGAGAAACTCCAACAACAGTTCTCAGCAAGTGACTCTGCTTCGGTCTGGAGAGGCCTCAAACACCTCACCAACTACAAGCCAAAACCCCCCAACACTTCATGAATGACCTCCGCCTGGCAGACGAGCTGAATGAGTTCTACTGCAGATTTGAAAGACAATGTCCTGATCCCATCCCCCACAGCTCCACCAACCTGCTGCAGTCCCCCTCCCCTCCCTCCCCCAGCCCATCAGGTGCTCACGCCTCTTCATCTATATCACCTTCCCCTCCCCCACCAGCAACGACCCTCTCTATTCTGGAGAGAGACGTTAACCGGCTCTTTAGAAGACTAAATCCCTGTGAGGCAGCCGGTCCGGACTCTCCCCTCACTCCCTGAAGCATTGTGCTGACCAGCTGTCTCCGGTGTTGACTGACATCTTCAACACCTCCCTGGAGACACACGATGATGGTCCACTTCTACACGGCCATCATCGAGTCCATCCTCTGCTCCTCCATCACCGTCTGGTACGCTGCAGCCACAGCCAAGGACAAGGGCAGGCTGCAGCGTGTCATCCGCTCTGCAGAGAGGCTGATCGGCTGCAATCTGCCGTCCCTGCAGGACTTGTTCGCTTCCAGGTCTCTGAAGCAGCTAAAAAGATCGCGGCCGACCCCTCCCACCCCGGACAAAACCTGTTTGTGTCCCTTCCATCTGGCAGGAGGCTGAGGTCCATCAGGACTAAGACCTCCCGCCACACCAACAGTTTCTTCCCGTCGGCAGTCGGGCTCATCAACAGAGCCGGTCCCCCACTGACTGACTCTAACATCCCACCGGTCACTCCCCTCCACACTGCACATGACACTTTAACTGCAATTCGTCACTTTGTCACTTTGTCTCTTGTCTGTTACTTGTTTGTTAGTGCACTTTATGCTTAATTTTTTTCTTTTTAACTTCTTAATATTTAAATTTTTTAAACTTTATTCCCTTGTTTTATACTAACCCATAGCCTTATTCTACTAACCCATTGGATTAGCATTTCATTCCACTTTATTTTATTACTTGTGCACTGTTGTCTTGTCTGTCTACTGTCGCGCACTAACCGCCAAGACAAATTCCTTGTATGTTTGACATATTTTGGCTAATAAATGTTTCCTGATTCCTGATCACCTGAGTAAACTGCGCGCACGGAATATGTTTTTCTTTGCTCAAATATAGTTCTCTGTGATCAAAACTTAAAATTACGTGCTCAGGATTGTGGCACAAATATAACGCCATATAATATGTGCTGCAATAGATTGATGGAGATGAATGATGAGCAGTGCAAACAAAATAAGGATTAAATTGTGAAAAGAGTTAAAACATACCAGCAAAGTCTGAGGCAGACATTTCTGTTGGAGAGAAGAAGAACAGAGTCATAAAACACTACACACTGGCCGTGGCTACTGATCAACTGACACACACACACACACACACACACACACACACACACACACACACACACACACACACACACACACACACACACCTTTCTCCTCAGGGCTCTTTGCATGTTCAGCTCCCTGAGAAACACCTGCACAGACAAAATCAGAAATATCTTGTAATCAGAAGTATTTCTCACTGTACCACAGTTACTACTAGAAGTACTATAGTTCCTACTGCCAGTACATGCATTTGTTACTTCAAGACAAAATCACATTTATTATTATCTACTGCTGTCACTATTATGATCATTTTTGTTATCAAGCTGCTCAAATAAGTCATTTAAGTCCTTCCCATTGATCCAGAATGCTGCAGCATGTTTGCTATCAAACTGCTCTGCTGTAATATAACCCCAATAAATGATCCTTCAATATAAAGCTCCAATGAATGATCCTGCAATTTAAAGCTCCAATGAATGATCCTTCAATATAAAGCTCCAATAAATGATCCTTCAATATAAAGCTCCAATAAATGATCCTTCAATATAAAGCTCCAATTAATGATCCGTCAATATAAAGCTCCAATTAATGATCCTTCAATATAAAGCTCCAATTAATGATCCTTCAAAGAGTAAAGATCTGACAGTTTATGGCAGGTGGCGTTCTTGAGGAAACATTGTCATGTCCCAGCTTCCAGGAAGTGGAGCGACCGGTCAGACCAGAGAGCTGCATTCCTCAGTGATGACTCACGGTCACCTGACCGGTGGATTTGATGACGTCAGAGGAGGATACGACATCATCAATATAATCATTTAACTATTTATTCAGCCTTTTATCTCATGTCATAGCAGCACCAACAACTATGGCATTCATTGAATTAACGTGGAATAAATAGATTATTTTCTAAATGAGAGATGACGTCTTCTCCCAGAGTTCCAGATTATAGCATGTATACAGAAATAAATCAATTATCACACATAAAATAATCTTACTGTGCGCGCTGTCGTAGCTGCTGGGCACCATCAACGGGACCGCGCGCAGCCCCTCCCCGCCTCGCGACTGCTTCCGACCGGACTCGCGCGTGCCGTTCTTGCGATAAACCTTGGACTGAGTTGCGGGCTCGAGGACACACAGGTCCTGATCCTGGACCAGACACTTGACCAACATGCATTGCGGCTTCCCGTCTGCTGGGAACCGGACCAAGGCCAGGTCGCAGTCCGGCTGGGAGCAGCACTTAGACCGGCAGGACTCCGGGTCCGACACCTCCGAGATCTGGTTTATGTCGATCATAAAGTTGTTTATGACGCTCAGGTCCTGATCCGGATCAAGGGACCGATCCCAGTCACAGCCCAGAACTACACCGGTCCCGACGAGAACCCAGACCATCAGTATCGACCCAACCATCGTCTTTTGAGGAGAACCTAAACTCGTAAAGATGA